CAATGAATTGCCAGTGCTGTATGCTGTTGGCTGTATCATTGATACTGTAATAGGGCAACAGAATTTGCAGTTAGATTAGTGAAATGTGACAACTATATGAGCTCGGATGTTTGTTGTTGGGTATTTGGTACCCTGTAAGAAAGTAAAATTAAGTTTACAATTTGATACAGTTATCGGTAAATGAAAGCAGTAAAAATAGCTTTAAACAGTCAACAAATTAGATATGCTTAACCGTGTAAGTGGAATGAAAATATTAGGCTGATAAGACAGATATCGTAGCATATATATAGCATTACCTCAAAAAGAATTTTTTGCGGTATCACTGCTGCTGATCATGATCGTTTTCGTTTATCAAACCATTTGACAGTAATTTCTGGATTTTATTATACCTCTTCTTTAATTTTAAAGACGATTAACATAATGTTTGGCTGGGTGGTTCTCTCAGGGTTGGTGTTGGGAAAGTATTGGAAGCATACGACAATGTAGAAGAAGAAAAAGATGGAGAAAAATAAATAGGAGAAGAGGATAAAAAAAAAAAGCTGAATATGGGAGCCAACATATTTTGTAATGACATTTTTAGTATTTCTAAGTTTTTTTTTGAAATCTCATAAAATGCTCTCTTTTTTTTTTGCTTAATTTTACTTTATTCGATGCACAGTGTTTTTTCTTTCATTTCTTTCATTTCGTTTTCCTTTTTTTTCTTTTTTGTGCAGTTTCTTTGATATATGCCTTCTTCTGTATAGCACCTTTTTTTTTTCTCTTTCAATTTTTTTTGTTGTTGTTGTTGAAGAGTTGAGAAAAAAGATCTTTTTTTTCTTCAATGTAATACGTTAAAAAAAATCATAGCATAATGCCTATTTGTTACACTTTTTTTGCCCCTCATTTTTTTTTTTGTATTATTATGCCAGCCGTTTGCGCCTAAATATTTCTTTTTTTTTCCTTTTTCTTCTGGTTTTTTTTTCCTTCCCTTCTGTATCAATGGCATAAAAATGCCTAAGTATAGCTGCTGCTTAACCAACATCTGAAGCAACAAAAAAACAAAAAAGAAAAAAAAAGACAAGAAACAACAAACAACAACAAAAAAAAATTTTTGTTTTATGTTTAACCAACGTTTTTTTTTTTTGAGATTTTTCTTTTTGTATTATTTTTGGACTCGTATAGTTCGAATGAACAAAAGAAGGGGAAATTGAAACCCCTTTGATGTCATTGCATAAAGTAGTTTAACCTGTATCTTTTGATACTTGAGCTAAAGGAATACAGACGCAGGTCTGAACACTATTTGAACTGATAAAGCATTAATTAAATGGATATATTGTAAAATGACAACGGCAGACGATTGTACAGAAAAATAGATTGTTGGGTCAGTGGCAACAACATTGGTTACAGTTGTCTACTGGTGATCGTTTGATTGAAACGTTTTTTTCCTACTTTTTGCAATTTTTAAAACTTTGATAGTTCTTCAAAACTACAAGTTCAACAAATTTTATCTTGTTGGATACTGTTTAGGTTCTGGTAAACGACCAAATCAGAACTATTTGCCATGCGGGTGTAAAGCTATGTTACGGTTAAACTATACCTATAATACGGGTCTTCGGATTACGACGTTAAATGACAAACACTACGGACATGAACTAACACCGGAGAACTATGCAAAAAGTTGCAGCAAAATACGACGTTCGAGCCCTAAGACACCGTCTTCCGGTTAGTCACACACTTACGGAATCATATCTTTATACACTTGCATAAAGAAGAGATATATTGGCAGATAGTTAACAATGAATTTTTTGCTTGTTGCTTATGCAACTGTAATAAAGTGGTGATTATTTAATTTTTTCCTTTTTCACTTTAGCATATCATATTACTGTAGCATATATTCTATATTTAATGTAGTCATTAATTACTTTTGTGCTTACAGAGAAAAAACCAGTAGTTTGGCGTAATCAGCAACAGGGTTCATTACGTGAATCAAAATATGAAGGATTGAATAACACATCGGTACTGAGCAACATTCAAGAAAATTCTTCAGAGACGAATCTAAATTCTTCAAACAGTGCACCATCCTATGATGCACCGTTATCATCATTGGCGTTGAATGTTGCTTCACAAATCAACAAAACACCAGGTTACAATAACTGCATAGGCTTTAAACTTTCATATTTCCATAAGACAGTTTTGAAACGTTGTTCAACCGACAGATTCTTATAGGTTAAAAAACTGTTATAATTCTATTTTATTTTCGCTTTTTTATTTATTTGTTTTGTTTCATTCTAGGACAAGGTGTTTTCCAACCATGTCAACCACAAAATACCAACGGTCTACAGAATCTCGCAGCAGTTGCAGCAGCAGTTGGACATCAACAACAGCAACAGCAGCAACAAATGGCTGCAGCAGCGCTGCTGTCACAACAGAAGGAAAATATGGGCTTTACATTCTCAAATTTGGCGATGATGCAACAAGTGCAAAATTCGAATAGCAGTCCATCACTTCTTCCGTTAATTCGGGTTTGTACTCTTTATTTTTATGTTCATTTTTTGGTCTTATTGTTATGATGTCAAGATTTGTTTATTTACGTGTTTTTTTTT